CCTCTCTAGTTACCACCTCATCTCCCATTTCTCTTTCTCCTTATGTCTCTGATTCCTCATCTTGTGTTTCCTTTGCAACCCATTACTACTAGATTTTGTCCCCAGTACTCTACCGAAACAGCTTTGTCAAGGTCTCCAGAGATACCTCACTGTCAGATGATCCATCACTTCTTCAGCCATTCTCAAAGCATTTTCTCCATTCTGTCTCTTTCAATGGATTCAACTCTTTCCCCTTCTTCTTCTTCCTTCACCAGCACTCCCTCCCCAACTCCTGTTCTCTGACAGTGCCCACCCTTCAAGTGACGATAAACCAATCAATGACCTGAAGTTCTATTACCCTGGCCTCTCCGATCTGTACTCCAGACTCCTGTCCAACTACTTGCTAGTGCTTCCACCCACCTGATGTTTCAAACTTGCCATACCCAAAGCAATCCTCCAGGTGTCCTCCCCCAGATCTTCTTCCCCCACCATCCTCCCTCATCTCTCTAAACATCAACCCCAGCCTTCTGGTTGCTTAGGTCATAGACCTTGGAGTCACCTTTGATTCTTCTCCTCCTCACACATCTCACATCCAAGTAACAGCAAACCCTACTGCCTCTATTTGCTAAGTGCATTTTTAACCCAACCACCCCTCATTACCACCTAGCCTCAGCCTTAGTCATCTCTCATCTGGAAATCCTCCTCAACAGGTCTCTATCCTCTCTGTGTCCCCTTAGGTTCAGAATACTTGCTCATAGCTGGCACTCTACCACTTGAACCATTCCTTTAGCCCTCCTTTTTGCTGGTTAATTGGAGATGAAAAGCTCTCAGACCTACCTGCTCTGCCTGGCTTCAAACCTCAATCCTCAGTTTTCAGCTTCCTGAGTTGCTAGGATTACATGTGGGAGCCACTTGTGCCCAGGTTGATGATGGAAAGCTTTAGAGTCCATAGAGACCTCCAGTTCTCCCAAATGAGTTATGAGATGCCCTGGTCAAAAATATCCTTGGATCAGGGTGCCCATGGCTCACACCTTTAGTCCTGGTTTACTCAGGAGGCCATGATCTGAAGATCATGATTTGAAGTCAGTCCCAGCAAGAAAATCCATGAGACTCTTAACTCCAACTAACCACCAAAAAGCCAGAAGTGAAGGTGTGTCAAAAGGGGCAGTTCCTAGCCTGGGCAGCTGCGGGCAATGACCTGGCAGTCTATATTCCTATATTCTAGAAGAAGTGAAGTGGCTTTCAGTTCTGGTCTGAAACAGTCATGCCTTTCAATGGTTCTCTATCTGAAGTCGATTTCTGGTCCTTCCTTTCTGCAGATGACCTAGCAGATCTGGAAATAGGAGGGAAAAACTGTGAGAAAGCAAGGGAAGGGGTGACATTGTCCAACAGGAAATCCACTCTTTGCCTGACTCATGTAACTGTAACCCCTCTGTTTTTAGCATTTTCAAATAAAAGTCATACATAAAAAAGATAATTAAGAATCTCACCCCAGTGGGTCTCACTTGGCTCAAGTAAATAATGGCTCCGGCTGTTCCAGGGCCTTTGCTGGGGGAGTTGGGTCTCTGAGACCCTCCATGCTTCCTCTCCTTGCGCAATACAGCCCTCAGGGTCAAGGGCAGGAGCTTCTCCATGGAACTGCTCACTGGACTTGGTGTGAAGACCAGCCCCACAGGCTCCAGACTTACAGGCCAGAATCACACAGGCTGGAGATTCCACTATGCTGGTTTTTGTTGTTGTTGCTGTTCGTGGGGCTTGTACTCAGAGTTTGGCACTCTCCCTGAGTTCTTTCCTCAAGGCTAGCACTCTACCACTTTGAGCCACAGAGCCACTTTCAGTTTTTGAGTGGTTAATTGGAGATAAGAGTCTCATGGACTTTGCTGCTGGGGCTGGCTTTAAACCATCATCCAGTATCTCAGCCTCCTCAGTAGCTAGGATTATAGGCATGAGCCACCGGCGGCTGGCTTCTGTGCTGGTTTTTGGAAGATCTGACTCCTTTAGCATCTTCTGGGTCTAATTTTTAGAAGCCTCGTTCTCATGAAGACACTGGCCTCTGCGAATGCTAAGATGGATTCTTATGGCTTCCTAAACATGGAGGAAAAGATCTGAGAAGGAGGCAATGACTTCTGTTTAAAGCCATTCAGCATCCATCTGATTGGTAACAATGAAGCCTGACAGATGTAGGGTACAGGAAACTCTCCTGTACTGGTCAGGAGTCAGAATGGCTACAACCACTTTGGAGAGCATCTTGACTAAAGCTATGTCTACCATGCGAGACAGAAATCTCATTCTTAAACATGCATACCCTAGAGGAACTTGTGTACATGAAGACCTGTGGTATTAGCCATGATGAAAACTGGAAACTACTTAAATGGTCATCAACTAGAGAATGAATAAGTAAATTTTAGTTTAGTCCTATTTTGGAATATGATATAGCAGTGAAAAATCAATACAGGTGAGCTTCAAAAAGTAGTACTAAGCGAAACTGAAAGCAAATCACATAAAGACACTAATCCGGGCCATTTCTGGAAAGTTTAAGAGTGTGCACAAATGCTACTTATGGAAACATGTGTATGTATAATGACTTTCAAAGAATGTATTAGTAAGATAAATCCTAAATTCAGGGAAGTGTAGGTTATGGTGTGAATGTTGGTGTCTTCCTAAATTCCTATCTTGAAACTTATCACGCAGTGCAATAATACTAAGAGTTGATATGTCTGAGCCAAGCACTCGTGAATTATGCCTGCAATCTTTGGTACTCAGGAGGCTGATATTTGAGGATCCCAATTCAAAGCTAGCCCAGGCAAGAAATCCCCAATTAATCAGCAAAAAGATGGAAATGGAGCTTTGGCTTAAATGGTAGAAAACAAGCTAAGGGACAGTACCCAGACCCTGAGTTCAAGCCCCAGTAGGGGCACAAAGAGAAAAAAAGGGTGAGGGATAAATATGATAGAAATATAATATATAATAGAAGTACATTAAGAATATATGAAAACAGCATAATGAAACTCACCAAAAACTGGTAAAAAGAGAGAGAAAAGTGAGAAGGAGAGGAGTTAAAAAAAAAAGTAATATAGATGGGTAAATTTGACCAAGTATATTATATGCATGCATGTAAATATCACAATGAAACCCCTTGTACAAGTAATTTATGCTATTTTTATTGTAACTATAAAGGTGATATACAGAAGGATTACAGTTACATGAGTCAGGTACAGAGTATATTTCATGCTTTTAAAAAAAATAGCAGGGCTGGGAAGGTTGCTCAGTGGTAGAGTGCTTGCCTTGCATGCCTGAGGCCCTGGGTTCAATTCCTTAGCACCACATAAGCAAAAAGAAAAAAGCCAGAAATGGCGCTGTGGCTCAAGTGGTAGAGCACTAGCCTTGAGCTGAAGAGCTGAGGGACAGCGCCCAGGCCCAGAGTTTGGGCCCCACGACCGGACCCCCCCCCCAAAAAAAAAATAGCAAATGTAAGCCACTAGTAGCTCACACTTGTAATTATAGTTACAGGAGGCAAAGATATGAGGATCGTGGTTTGAAGCCAGCCCAGCAAGAAAAGTCCATAAGACTCTATTTCCAATTAACCACAAAAAAGCTGGACTAGAGCTGTGGTTCAAGTGGTAGAGTGCCAATAGTGAGCAAAAAGAGCTGAGTGTGAGGTCCTGAGACCCTGAGCCTGGGTACCAATACATGGACACACAATAATAAACTTTTTCCAATGGAAAAAATACATATCTATTAATATAATAGACTTTCTTAAGAAATTAAATATTATAGATGTCACTAAAGTGCATGTGTAATTGTTCCTAATCTTACTTCTGTCCTTCCCCAAAGGCAGCTAGTTCACTTAGTCTTAGTTCACTTGTCTTAGTTCACTCCTGTGGCTATGACAAAAATTAAAAAAAAACAACCCTTAAACTAGGTAATTTATTAGCAATAAAACTTTATTGCTCACAGATCTGGAATCTGGAAAGGTCAAGGTGAAGTGGTCAGCAGATCCCATACTTATGAGCAGATCTTGTACATCATTCTCTACTTTGAAGATGGTACTTTCTCTCCCCCACTCATCGTGTGGGAGATGAACCCAAGGATTTCCTGGACTTCTTTTATAAGGACACTAACCCCGTTCATGAGAGAGAGAGCCAAGAGAGAGCTCACGTTTAAACTCTGAGTTTAAACTTAGACCCTGAGTTTAAGCATCAGGACTGCTCAACTCTTTGGGGGTTGAAAGGACTAAGTGGGGGGGTGAATGAGTTCCTTTCTCCCTTAATTTAAGATTCCCCCCAGGGATAGGATGGGAGGGTCTCTTAGGCATCTTTGACGTTCCTACTGTCACAGATTCACACAATGAAGTTTCCTCCCATGATTGGATAGAGATCTCAGCATTTACCTCATCCTAGCCAAACCAGTTTCTTCACCAAGCTCTCACATCTGCTCAGTGCTTTTCCACACCCTTGCTCGGCTACAAAGTCCTCTTGAATCCTACCAAAATCCTATCAGCATCCCAGGCATGGCTCATTTCAGATGTTACTTCCTAACCTAAAGCTTTTCTTGATTTTACCCAGACTGGTGGAGCATCCTTATCTTTGGATCTACTTTGTTTGATTTTTGTCTATTTGTTTTGTGCTGGTCTTGGGGCTCGAACCCAAGACCTACCTGAGCACTGTCCCTGAGCTTCTTCTTGCTCAAAGCTAATGCTCTACCACTTGAGCCACAGTGCCACTTCTGGCTTTTTCTGAGTAGTTTATTGGAGATAGAGTCTCACAGACTTTCCTTCGCTGGGCTAGCTTCAAATGGTGCTCCTCAGATCTCAGCCTCCTGAGTATCTAGGACTACAGGAGTGAGCCACCAGTGCCCAGCATCTCCTTGGAATTATGAGGGCAGGGCCCAGGGTTCCCTTTCTTCCTAGATCCTTCCAGCACAACATATAGCAGGTGTTTTGCATGTGTTCAGTTGTATGAAGCTGACCAGACCAGTGGGCCTGGGCATGTTCCCAGCACACAGGAGTCCCAAATGCTTACCTTAGGAGTGAACATGTGCAGGATACCATCGACTGCTCCTCGCAGCAGCAGCCCCCGGACCAGGAAGCAGGCCAGCACCACATAGGGGAAGAGAGAGCTGAAGTACATCACCTGCAGAGAGGACAGGGACCCACTGTCAGGAGGAGCCCCTCCAACAGCAGGCACCGCCCCCCTCCCTGCTCACAGCTGGGGCCCATGAGCCTCCTCTGATACCAGGTGGCACAAAGCAGAGCCCCGGAGCCCCTGGGCACAGAGCCAAACCCACCACCCATCTTGGCCCTAAGCCCAGGCAGAAACAGGAGCAGGATAAGCTGAAATCCACATGGCTGTTCCTGGGCTTTGTTTGCCTCTCAAGTTCTGGAGCTCAGGCTAGTGGTCCCCACCCCTAGAACTGCTGAAGGATGAGGAAAGCCTGAATTCTCTCTCCTCATCCTCCTTCTTCATCTTCCCAAGTGAACCCATCAAGGATATCTCCTGGGGCTGGGAAGGTGGCTCAGTGGTTAAAGCGCTTGCCTTGCATGCCTGACGCCCTGGGTTCGATTCCTCAGCACCACATAAGCAAAAACAAAAAAAGCCGGAAGTGGCGCTGTGGCTCAAATGGTAGAGCACTAGCCTTGAGCTGAAGAGCTGAGGGACAGCGCCCAGGCCCAGAGTTCAGGCCCCATGTCTGGACCCAAAATAAAAAAAAAACGGATATCTCCTGCTCTTACAGCTTTCACAGATGACATCCAGGAAGCTAGAGAGGGCTCCCAAGAAGAGTCTATTAGAAGAAGGTCTAGCTCCTAGCCATTCTCAACCATGTGTATTTTTCCATCACATGTATGTTGTACATTTCCACTGCCCTGGTACATGGACACACACAGAGGATACATCTACAGACCGCCTGCAGCACTGAAACAAGTCCAGAGGGCAGCGAGCACAGGGTGGTACAAAGACTAAGAGCAGATCAGGCCATTTACTTGGCCTTAGTGTCTCCATAGCCCCATCACTGCTGAAGAAGGCAGTAATTCCTTTCTTTTTTTTGGGGGGGGGGACGGTCATGGGGCCTGAACTCTGGGCCTGGACGCTGTCCCTCAGCTCTTCAGCTCAAGGCTAATGCTCTACCACTTAAGCCAGAGCACCACTTCTGGCTTTTTCTGCTTATATGGTACTGAGGAATCGAACCCAGGGCCTCATGCATGTAAGGCAAGCACTCTACCACTGAGTCACCTTCCCAGCCTAGTAATTCCTAATTCTTAAGATTATTGGGGACCAAGTATCCTCATGAATATAATATATATAAATATAATATAATATATAAATATAATGATAGTTCTATGAAGTGCCAGCTAGTATTTTGGCATTTAGAGATGGAAGAAGTCAGTTACTAGGGTGATGTCCCCTTTCCAGAGCTTCCTGCCAGGCCTCTAGGTCCAGCTTTGAGACAGCACAGTTGCATGCTAGGCAAGGTGCTTTTCCTCAGTTTTCTCATGTGTCAAATGAATGGATGACATTGTGAGACACCTAATATTCTTTCCATACCTTTCAGTCCATGAATACTGGTAAGTGACAAAAAACAGCCTCAAGCTGAGTGCCCATGGCTCAAGCCTATAATTCTAGCTCTAATCAGAAAGCTGAGATTTGATGATCATGGTTCAAAACCAGCCCAGGCAGGAAAGTCTGTGAGACTCTTATTTCCAATTATGTACCAAAAGGATGGAAGAGGAGAAAGAGCTCAAATAGTAGAGTGTCAGCCTTCAGCCTTGAGTGAAAAAGCTAAGAGACAGTGCACAGGTCCCGAGTTCAAGCTGAGTACCAGCACACACACACACACACACACACACACACACACAAGGCCCTACTTTGAATGGGTGTGAACCACTGGTAAAGGTGTAAGACATGCTTGGTGGGCACCCTTGGAGGTGAGACTGCTCAACAGCTGTCTTTAGGGGACTCTGAGTCCTTTCACTCAGACAACCCTAGCATCACCCTGCTCAAAAACCCTTCAACTGTAAACATAGCAATCTGCTGGCTTTTGCCAAAGATTGCTTAGAGTAGACTGTGTTAGGAAACTGGAGGAGATGGAATCTAGACAAGACTTCACTGGATCAATATGTCATGAGCAGGCCTCAGTTATCTGAGAGGAGCCAAGTAGAGGTTAGATCAATGATTTTCCAGCAAATGCATTCCTGATGGGCAATACCTCCACAGCACAGGATTGTGTGGCAGTAACAGTCTCACCCCTTCTCCAAGGCCACAGAAAGGCCCTGATTCAATCATCTGGAATCCTCAGACTTCCCTTAACTTACCTTGCCTGAGGACTGGATGCCTTTGACGACAGCCATGCCCACAATGCTCCAGGCCACCAGGAGACACAATGTCATCTTCCAATTGAGCCCCCCACTCTCTGAGATGGAGTTGGAGATGTCCAAGGCCTCTCGGTACCAGAAGTACGTAGTGGCTGAGCTCTTCTCACACTCTGCTTCCACCACTGAAAGCACACCAAGGGCCACCCCGGGAGGGCGTGTGAGGATGGGGGCGGGAATGACTGAAGGTGGGCACCAGAGGGGTTGTAGGCAGTGATCTGGCAGACCCTGAGGAATCCTGGGGTCTGGGAGGCTTCAGGATACAATGACCTGGCAAAATTCCCACCCGTGCTACCTCCCCTTCATCCACTCAGGGAAGGTAAAGACGAGTCAGGCTAAATTGGTATAAAATCGGGAGCTGGACCTGGACTTTCAAACCAAATCATTGGCTAAATGGATCATCTGAACATAGGAAAATGACTTCTGTTCCCATCTGTGAAGTGAGATGATCATCACCATGCCCTTTGCAGGATTAGCACACAACTAAGATTATTTTTGGACTCATGGTATAGGGTAACACCTAATAGTTCGTCACAACTAAACTAAAGCCATGCTTCCTAGAGTTTTACTTATACTCATTATTTTATTCAACCCCCTAAGGACTCTGTAGGCCAGGCTAAAGAGGGATCATTTGTCCTGGGGAAGGGGAAATGTGGAGCAGGGTGTTAAGTGACTTGTCCAATAAGCCAACAACGACATCCCAAATCTGAGTGCTAAGCCTATTAGACTCTGTTCTGGGGGCAGAGTTGACTGGAATCCCCAGTTGGGGGTCAGTCAGGGGACCCATACTTGCCTGCTGTGGTCCCATTCCTGATGACAGGACATTCGCTCCAGGGTAGTGGGTACTGGAAGGACTTGAAGAAGTAGAAGATACTCCATCCGATGATCACATTATAATACAGCCCAACGAAGAGGCAGACCTGAGGAAAAGGGCCCAGGGCGGTGTCACCAAGGTTGCAGAAATGCTACCTGGGCCCCACACTCCAACCAAGGCCCAACAGCTCAGGCCATCAAGAACTCAGCTGCCCTCTCCCAAGGAGGAAAATGAGGTTGAGGAGCAATCAGTGAGGGCCTGCTCCAATGCTCCATTCATCTGTTACTCAAGCAATCCACAAAGGAACTCTTGCAATATTAACATTTTCTCCTTTAAGCAATGAACTCTTAAAAAGTTAATCCATTCCAGTTCAACATTGCTCTGAAATACTTGAAGCCCCTCCCATCTTTTCCTGATGATGAAGAATTCTAATTAAAGATACCTTCCAGCACCAGGGAAGTACACCCAGCTTTTGCTCTTACAAAAATAGCCCTAGAGGGCTGTGTGCATTTTGAGATTTTTGTGGCTAACTGGTTTCCTATGTCCTTTCGAGACACTATTCTGACTTTTTTGTTTTGATTTACATCAGTATTGGAGCTTGAACCCAAAACCTTGAGCTTGAGTTCTCGCTTGGCTTTTTTGCTCAAGGCTGGCACTCTATCACTTGAGCCATAGCCCCACTGCTGGCTGATTGCTTGTTCACTGGAGATAAGAATCTCACAGACTTTTCTGCCCAGGTTGGCTCTGAATCTCAGTCCTCAGATCTTAGTCTTCTGCGTAGCTAGGATTACAGGTGTGAGCCACCAGCACTGGACTACTCTCCTAACTTTCAAACTGTTAGCAGCTCATCTTTAGAAAGATATCGCTTTTCATTTCTTGGACAGTCAATAACTGACATGGAAGAACTTTACTTGAAATAGGAGTCAGGGCTTTGATGAAAATTCTGCCCATGTTTTATGGGCATCCATGGTAGATGCTTCCAGGTTGTAGTGAGATTTGCTGCTCAGCCTGAGAGGCAGAGTCCCTTGTTTAATATGCTCCACTTGTATGCTGAGTATGGTGGCTAACACCTGTAATCCTAGCAACTCAGGAGGCTGAGATCTGAGGATCATGGTTCAAAGCTAGCCTAGGCAGGAAAGGCCGTGAGATTCTTATTTCCAATGAACAAGCAATAAACCACTCAGAAAACCAGAAGTGGCGCGGTGGCTCAAGTGGCAGAGCACTAGCCTTGAGCTGAAGAGCTGAAGGACAGCACCCAGGCCCAGAGTTAAAGCCCCATGACTGAAAAAAAAAAGTTCCACCTGTGCAGAGTACAGCAACCATGTGCAGGAGTGAACTCTGGTGTCCAACAGATTCCAGTTTTTATCTGAGCAGACTTTACCCTTTAAAGGACATTTAGTGTCCTCACTTTAGAGCTCTCAGCAAGGTCCCCCTGGATGAACCTGCAGGTTTAATGGGGTTCCATCTAGGATCAGTGAAGATGCCCTGTCTTCCAAAACCTCATGGGTGGATATTAAGGTTCTTCTCTGAGACCTCCAACTGCTCGTCTGTATACAGCATGAATTCAAGGGGACCCTGACCCCAGGATTGCCTTTTTCTAAGCCTCCATTTTGCTAACTGAAACACATTTTGCCCATGGAAAGGCAAGGACTGCTCCTGTGGGCTGCTGATGACTGGTAAGCAGAGACAAGTATCCAGGATGGTCCCTATGTCCCCAGAGAACTGGCTGGGGTTTCACAGGCCCTCGTGTATGACATAACCTATCTTTTCCTCCTTTGCACCATCCTCAGATAGCACCACTGTTTCAATGTGCCTGAGGGACTGTTCAGTTTAGGAAATATGCTGACTGGGCCCCGAGTCACCAACTGAAAGCAAGTCTCATATGGAGGCTCTTGGCCCAGGATGCTAGCCAACAAGCCTGGTGACCTCTCCCCCCTCCAAGTACTCAGAGTACCCAGAGTTCTCCTCTGCCTCCCACTTAGTGCCTGCTGTCCTCCCCCCCCTCCTGCCCCCATGACACCCAGCCCAGGACTCACAATACAGCTGGAAAAGCCGATGCCCCCCAGGCGGGGACACACATAGTGCCACACACCGATGCTGCCACGACGGATCCTCTGGCCCACAGCCAGCTCGAGAAAGAAGAGGGGGATGCCAATGATGATCAGCAGCACCAGGTAAGGCACCAGGTAGGCACCTGTGGGGAAAGAGAAAGGGGGTCAGCAAGGGTTCACAGCCTGGTGACAAAGTGAGGGAAGAGCTGGCAGCCTTGTCCTGAAGCCTCAGCCATACCTCAGCTCTTCTGCCCAGTGTCACCAGTCCTGGTGCTCCTCTGTGAGGACACCTTCACTATGCTCCTCTCTTTGACTCCCCTGGCCTGAAATGCTAAAGGAGGGACCATATTGTGTGTATAGTTGCCTTCTGCTCATAAGCTCAGCTCAGAAACAGATACCACACTGCCTCTCAGGATCCACATGTCAAAACCACACGCAGACAGACACTCTGTGGACACCTGTCCATACCTCTCCCACCCGCCACAGCAGCCCCAGACAGTGTGGGCCCTGCTCATTGGCTGCCAGTGGCTCAGCCCCCAGCAGTCCAGTCTGTTTTTGTCTGAGCAACAGCTGCCATAGCACAGTGGGCAGATCTGAGAAAGAAGATATTGGAAGCTCTCCAGGGAAAGAGGGTGTGACCAGCATCACCATTAATCCGTGGCTAATTGAGAGGAACGGGAGAGAAGTTAGCTGTTTAGGAAAGCGTGGTTGGAAGTATCATAAAGGATAGAATGGATCTCGCCAAAGATTCCAGATGACAAATGAATCTTGCAGTCCTAAACCTAGCTGTAGACACAGCCTCAATTCCAAGTGACAAGGCATTTAGCAGGAGAATTAAAGCCACATCTAGACATGGTCGAGTGCATCTTGCTGAGAACTGTGCCAACTCCCTAGCCCTGTTAAGCAGCACTGTCAGCCAGGCCTGTCTATCAAACAGTGTCAGTGCAGCCCCAGCCACTGGGGTCCTGATGGTCACCCCAAACCTCCAGACCAAACCTCTGCTTACCCCCCACCCCAGTCAGAATCCCACATGCTCCCCCATAAATGCTGAATCTGCTAGTGAACGCTGGGTATAAAACCTGGCACTTGGCAACAGTCAGCTGTTTACTGCGGGTCTCTTCTGGGCCAGGCCTGAGCGTGGGGGGATGCTAGAGCAACAGAAGGCTGAAGATATCAGCCTGGAAGAGCTCACAGGCTGCTGGGGAGGCAGGAATCTTAGAATCCATGGGCAATATCACGTGTGCACACAGCTACACACACAGCCCCAGCTGAGCACACACATGCTGCAAGAGTGGCAGGTGCAGTGGAGCTAATCAGGAAGACAATACACCAAACCTCACACAACAGCATCTAACTCCTTACCACCACCCCCAAACACACATGTACAAGCACACACACACATGTTCAACATGTCACCAACAAGCAGCCCCAAGACAGCCCTGGAAGGGAAGGAGGGAAGGCCTAAAGGATAACAGGCAAAGACCCCAGGTCAGTCTTTAACTCAAACTCTGGGTCTCAAGCAGAGAAAGGCAACCTGCTTCAGGGACAAAGGGAGGCAGCACCACTGTTTTTGTATTTTGCCCCAGTGACCTCTGGGTGGAGTAAGATGTACAGAGAGACGGGCTTCCAGGTGTGGGCAAAGTAGGTTAGAGTTTGTTTATTTGTTTTTCACTGTTTGTGAGGGCTTGAACTTAGGGCCTGGGTGCTGTTCCTGAGCTCTTTTACTCAAGGCTAGCACTCAACTTCTTTGAGCCACAGCTCCACATCTGGTTTTCAGGTGGTTAATTGGAGCTAAAAGTCTCACAGACTTCCCTGTCCTGGTTGGCTTTGAACCATGATTCTCATATTGCAGCCTCCTGAGTGGCTAGGATTACAGGTATGAGCTACTAGCACTGGAAGTTTAGAATCTTCTATGGATGCTTTTCTCCAAAGAACTGGGGAAAGCCTCCAAAAGTGATCCTGTGGCAAAGGCCAAAGAGCACCCTCACATGCCCCAGCCCTGTGCACCCTAACCCTCTCCAGCCAGGTCACAGGGCATGGGTCTGACTGTAGTTTTCTCAACTGTGCCAAGGTTTGGTTGACCAGAATGCTCAAATTGCTGGGTACAGTCTAGATGAGTAGAATTTGTGGTTCACCAGAGATACTTTTATACATCAATCTTGGTTGAAATCATTTGGAAATGATTTCTTCCATCTTAAAAAGAATTTTTTAATTTTTGGGTCACAACTGGATTTCCTTTGATGTTCTTAGCAGCTTTCAGGAGGTTGAGGTCTGAACAGCTTGAAACACTGCTCAAGGTATTAGGAAACTAAACAAAATGAGTCTATAGGTGAGTATATTTGGGTTCCCTGAGGTTCACTAGGCCTCTAGAAATGTGTATGTCTCAGTCTATACCCTGTGCTTCACTTCTGACAAACTTTGAGTTTATTCCTGGGGTTTAAAAAAATCCAGCCCTAACCCATTGACATATGGATTGAGAAGAAGGCAACAAAGAAATCCTGGAGTCAGAATCCTGGCTCTGCCACTTACTGTATTATGTAGGGCAAATTCATGCTTTCTCTGTGCTGTTATTTTTGTCATCTACACAGAGGATGAAAACAACTAGGCGCTGATGGCTCATGCCTGTCAACCTAGCTCCTCAGGCAGCTAAAGATCTGAGATCTGAGATCTGCCAACTTGGGCAGGAAGTCCATGAGACTCTTATCTCCAATTAGTCACCAGAAAACTAGAAGTGGTGCTGTAGCTCAAAGTGGTAGAATATTAGCCTTGAGCACAAAGAGCTCAGGGACTATGCCCAGGCCCTGAGTTCAAGCCCCATGGCTGACAAAAGACAAAAAGAATGAAAAACATTAGATAGCACTCTATGAAATTGCTGATATTTTACCATTTTGACTTTACAATATTGCCAGTTTATACACCTTGGCTCTGTACCTATCACGTAGGTCTGTTGTAAGAAAAATTGAGTTACTAGCAAAAGACAGAATAAGCAAGAATAGTTCCCTGTCTTTGTGTGAGCACATGTGTGCATGAGTGTGAATACATGTACATGCAAGCCAAAAAGACTCGGATTCAGAACCAAGTATCGAGGCAGAGCTGATAATCTAAGCTAGAAAGGACAATGTGAGCAGAGTATGGAGATGACCCTTTTAGTCCCAGTACTCGGAAGCTGAGGCAGGAAGATCCACAGTTCAAAGCCAACCAGGACTACATAATAAAATCTTGTTTCCAAAAAACACAATAGAGTGTGGTGGCTCAAGCATGTCATCCTAGCTACTTGGGAGGCAGAAACTAGGGGATCAAAATGTGAGGCCAGCCTGGACATAAATGTTCAAGAGACTTCATCTCAATGAATGCCTGGGCGTGTTGGCATGCACCGGTTATCCCAGTTATAGGGGAAGCACCATAGCTAGGCTCAGTACACCTGCTATCCCCCATGACACACATAAGCAGAAGTAGGAGGATCACAGTCCAGCCCAGCCTTGACATAAAGCAAGATCTTACCTCAAAAACAACACACGCATAAAGGGACTGGCACGGGTCAAGCATAGAGCCCCTGTCTAGTAAACACGAGGCCCTGAGTTCAATTTCCAGCACAAAAGAACAGGAAAAAAACAACTAACCCACAGAAAGTCAAAGTTAGAGGTTCCCAACTAAGTCTCCACAGACCACAAGCCATCCAAACCATTTGTGTGTTGCCAGCTCTTCTCAGCATCTCTCAGAGCATAAGGAAAGCATGCACTTTGGTTTGTAGCTTGCTTTGGGTTCATCTTATATTAATATGGTGACCATGCCATGCAAAACCAAAAACTCTAACTGGCAGCTACTTACATACATAATTTGTTAAAGTCTTTTATGCAAAGTGGCCATATGGTGAATATATTATATAAGGGTGAAAAAGGGAAGCTTCTGGCCTAAATCCTACAGGCTATGGACACATACACCTTTCCCTTCAATAGAATGAACAGAAGAAGAATGAGAAGGTCCCCACCAGGCTTTGTCTTTTATTTATTTTTTGAGAGCAGGCTTGAACTCAGAACCTCAAGCTCTCACTTGGCTTTTCTGCTCAAGGCTGGCTCTCTACCACTTGAATCACACTTCTATTTCTGGCTTTTTTCTGATTAACTGGAGATAAGAGTCACAAACTTTTCTGCTTGGCCTAACTTTGAACTGCAGTCCTGAGATCTCAGACTCCTGAGTAGCTATTGTTACAAATGTGAGCCACCAGTACCTTGTCTTCTTAACCAAACTATGTCCTAGAAGGGAGGGAAAGGTCTCTGAAAGGGAATGCAGTTTTGGAAAGGCTACATGGTGGAAATCCCTCAGAACAGAGCAGGAAGAGCTGGGTTAAAATGCCTGCCAAGTTGTGGTCACCCAGGAGTCTGGAGTATGGTGGTCCCAAGGGCAGGAAACTCAGAAACCTTTAAGCTTTCTATTAGCTGGTTTTGCTCAGGAACAGAGGCTGGGCTTGGAAATCTTTCCAGCCACTGGAGGTTTCTCTTTGTTCATTTTCTGTAAGTTATCCCATGGTTTCAAAGCAGGCTACTTATGGAAAATACCAGTTTACTCTGTGTGTGTGTGTGTGTGTGTGTGTGTGTGTGTGTGTGTGTGTGTGTGTGTGTGTGTGTGTGTGTGTGTGTGTGTGTGTGTGTTTTCCCTTAGCTTTTTCAGTCAAGGCTAGCACTTGAGTCTTGGCTCCATTTTCAGCTTTTTGGTGGTTCACTGGAGATAAAAAGTCTCAGGTACTTTTCTTCCTGGGCTGGCTTTAAACCTTGATCCTTAGATTTCAGCCTCTGGAGTAGCTAGGATTACAGGTGTGAGCCACCAGCACCTGGCTACTGCCAGAATCCTGATGAACAATGCCTGGGGGCTTCTACCTGTGAGTATACATACATACATACATACATATATATATATATATATATATATATATATATATATATATATATATATATATAGTTGGTATGTTTTGGGGGGGATGATATACATCCCAAAGTATGGAATGAAGTACCTAAGCTGGGGACAGCCTGTCCAGCTCATCCTAACTCTGTCCCAAGCTGAAACTTTGATCACTAAGTAAGTTACCCATGACCTTAAGTAAGTCACCTAACAAATCTACACCTATATTTTACACTCAAAGGAGGACCACGATAACTCCTTCCTCATATAAAGTTGCCAGATAAACTTGGTTTTGGTTGCTCCAAGGTGCTCAGCTATCAGAAGTTTCAGGCAACAAAATTGGTGCTATTACCCAGTAAGGGCTTACAACAGTACTTAGCCCCTAGTAAACATTTGATAATAATGACCAACAGTTGCTCTTTTCTCCACGATCTGGTACTGTGTAAAGAGCATTGACTCCTTCTTGCTCTCCTGTAAGGAGAGAACCACTGTGATCCTCAATTTACAGAAACATGGATTGGTTCAGCAGTTTGTACTAAATGTCAGAACTGAGCAGCCAGCTTGGGATTAGCACCCAGACAATGTGGAACCAGAGCTCTTGGATCGTGAGGAATCTTACTCGCCTATCTGCAAGGACTATGGTTGTGCCTTCAGCAAAGAGGTCCTCCTTGCCCCCCTCAGCCTGGACCATTTTTAGAGAACTCTGGTGCATCAAGGCTGCCTCTTACCCCCTCCATTTTTCTGGCACAGGTAGGGGAATCTCCAGATGTTGCCAAGGCCCACGGAGAAGCCAATCTGGGCCAGAATGTACTGAAGCTTGCTATTCCAGGCTGGCCGGTCCTCTGCATCCAGCTCCTCCTCCACCGCCTTCTGCTTGGCACCTGTCTCTCCAGCCACATTCAGGACACTCTGCTTATAATCCACTGGCTCCTCAAGGGCCAGCAGGTCAGCCACCGACTCGGTGACATGCTCATTGCTATGCTCACGCTGGGTCACTTTGCTGTTCTTCGGCATGGGTGCCACAGGGGCTGTGCAGCCCTGTTCCCCCGCACACAGAGAAGGTGGGGCTCCGCTGTCGTCAGCTTCTTCTCATCCAGGGACCTGTGCAACCAGGTGAGCAGGAGAGCATTAGCTAACCACATCAGGGCAGGGTGATGGGGAGATAAACAGGGACACAACCCAAATCGAGTCCCGGCACACCCTCAAGCTAGTCAGGGGTCTCAAGTGTGATTTCCTCCCCAACAGAGGGCCTGCTTAGGAGCTCAAGGCCTACACCAAGTTTCCCAGAGATCTTACCTGAGCATCATAAGCAAGAGCAAAAACAGGCAACTCCAGATACCAGAACCCAAATAAAGGGCCACCCATCACGATAATTGCTTTCTTTCACACTGCAGTGTTCAAGGCTCTTTAGAGATTCTCTCCATCTTCCCTTAGTCCCCATAGTTCCCATAGTCATGGCTACCAAAGCCATAGCTCCTGTGTTCTTGTTAGCCAGAACCACCTGGTAGGGCCCTGGGCAGCAGAGTCTCTTCTCAAGGGTTTTTCTATTCAAACTGCAGTCCTTGCTGAAGTATCATGTGACGCTTCAATATATATGTTGACAGTGTCATATTTAAGCATTATTTACTTAAACCTAGTTCTCTCCTTATTATTCCCTTATGGTGAGAACTTTCAAACTCGTTCATTGGAGCTTTTTTGAAACATAAAGTGCATTACTATTATCTACCGATATTATATTCAATCTAATTGTATCTTATTGCCCACTGATCCACCTGTCCCCATCCTTCATTCCCCCGACTCTCCCAGGTTATCTGGCCCAAACTATTCTACTTGCAGCTTCCAGAAGACTTTTTAGATTCACATGCAAGTGAGACTGCCACAGGACACCATTTTTCAATGCCTGGCTTATTAGACTTAATACAGTAATGTCTAGTTTCCTGTATGTTGTTACAATACCACAACTTCATCCTTTGTTATGGCAGAATAATATGCTGTATTCTTTAAAGAAATTCTTCATACCAGCTCAGCGGGATCAAATGATCTCTCTCTCTCTCTCTCTCTCTCTCTCTCTCTCTCTCTCTCTCTCTCTCTCACACACACACACACACACACACACACACACACATACACACACACAAATGTAGTCCATAAGCTGGGTACAGTTTTGTATGCCTATAATCCCATCAACTTGGGAAGCAGGGATAGGAGGAAGTCTGAGACCCACCTAAGCAAGAACAGGAAACACTATCTGAAAAATGAACTAAAAGCAAAAAGATTGAGGCACCCTGATTTCAATCCTCCTTACTCACCTTACCCTGACTCTCAGGCCCATCTCAGACCTTCAGAATCATTTCCTGAATCTTTACAGGATGCCCAGCTAAGTCAATGGGATATGTATCCCTCCCACCAAGAAAAGCTCTAGAGGCGTTACTATGGAGCCCCTGGCTACCAGCTACCGTGGTCTCTTCATTTCCCTAGGCAGGAGCGGCTAAGCAAGCTCAGCTAAGGATTCTGGCACCAAAGACCTAGAAGTGTCTGCTCCTTGCCAACAATTCCCAGGTCATTGCTCAGCAGTGACATTATCTGAGGGCCACTGCAGCCAAGAGCTGGTTGTCCATCCTTCAGTGACATTTTTACAGCAGATAATGTCTGCACAACACAGGCGGGGGGAGGTAGAGCCCTCCCCCGCTCCTGCCAGTCCGCATTTATCTTTTCTGCTTTTTCTTAAAGAAACAAAGCACCAAGAAAACAAGTCCTTTGAAGAACCTGAGCATTCTGTTACAATTCAAGGCACCTCCTTATTAAGGGGAGGCTGGAGGATTTCAAATTAAACACCGTCCCTCAACCCCGCCCTGCCTGCAGTTACCCTGAATCTTTCTAGGGATGTAAATTAGCCAGCTCTGTAATTACTTTATTAAGAGAATGAGCTGTCTCTGGCAGCTAGGCTCAGTTTGCACTTCTTAAATGATGTGCCACCTGAACAGCACAGGCAAGGTTGCTGTGCAGCCAATGGGTTCAAGGCCATTCTTTCTACTGAGCTTGATCTTCTGACTGATTCTAACAAGTATCTGGCCTTTGAGGGGACCTGACTAGCTAGCTGTTATGCATGAGATAAAGCCACAAGGCCCTTAGCTAGGGACCCCGTTCATGTCAGTATGTAGAATCAGCTGGCAGGAACAAGATTCCAGGGTCAGCTGGATATGGTGGTACATTCTTATAATCTCAGGAGGTTGAGACAGGAGGATCATGAATTTGAGGCCAGCCAAGGCCTGTCTCCAAAAAATAGCAAGACTCTGTCTCAAATAAAAAAGAAGTAATAGGGCTGGGAAGGTAGCTCAGTGGTAGAGTGCTTGCCTTGCATGCACGAGGCCCTGGGTTCGACTCCTCAGCACCACAAAAACAGAAAAAGCCAGAAGTGGTGCTATGGATCAAGTGGTAGAGCACTCACCTTGAGCTGAAGAGCTGAGGGACAGCGTCCAGGCCCAGAGTTTAGAGCCACGACCGACGACCACGACGACCACGACAACAACAACAACAACAACAACAAAGTAATAATTTTTTAAAGGACCCCACTGTCTTAGGTCTTTGGAAGAACTGGGACAGAACCAGCTGCCTAAAAGATTTCAGAATTCTCCAGAAGGCGCTCTCTGTTGGGACTCCACAGTGAGTCAGCTGCTCAGCATCGCATTGTGTCCTGCAGGGTGCCCAAGGTGGCACTGTGTCTGTGGATGCTTCAGCCTTCACCTGCACCTGGGAGGCTGCTGTGTTGCTCATGCTATATAAATAAAGGAGTTATGTAATGGAGAGGTCTGTGTCATGGACTGGTTGTCAGGATGAGTCCTCCAATCCCAGCAGGTCCCTGACCTCCTGAATCTCAAAGAGAGAAAACAGAAATGGCTGCTTGGGTAATTCATATGGAGAACTTTCACTAAAGACTGGAGCTGAGGAGTAAGACTGAGGTTCCTCTAGGGATTGTAATCACTGCAGTGGGGGGTGGGGGTGACCCTGGACTCAGAGACTCTCTCTAGCAATTGTGCTCACAACAGGATTTGATCAGAACAGTCTGTAATATATTAGGTCTGATATGCTGATCATCAAATCTCAAATGGGATAAGCCAAGGAGGAATCCCACCAATCTACCGAATCCATCTTTAAAGTGACCAGCTAGAACACATTGCTCCCCAAATAGCTTGGAAGAGTGGCAGCTCTGATCACCAATATGATATGTATGTATGTACGTGTGTATGTGTATGTGCGTGTGTGTGTGTGTGTGTGTGTGTGTGTGTGTGTGTGTGTGTGTGTGTGTATGCTACTACAGGGGCTTGAACTCAGGGCCTGGTGCTGTCCCTTAGCTTTTAAGTTCAAGGTTGGTGCTCTACATTTGAACCACAGCTCCATTCCTTTTTGTTGGTTGATTGGAAATAAGAGTCTCATGGACTTTCCTGCCCTGACTACCTTTGAACGTTGACCCTCAGATCTCAGCCTCCTGAGCTGTATTACAAGTGTGAACCACTGGTTCCTGGCTTAGGGCTGCGATTTTTAAAGTATCATTTTGTAAGATAGAAGGACTCGCAGACAAAACTATTGTGCATGTTGTAGGAGCCAGAGAAGGCCACTTATAGCAGCAGCCTGGCAAACTACAGGGCCATGCTCCATGGGGCATAAGCTTCTCTTTCTCCCCAGATGTCAATAGTGCATACAGATGTCTTCCACTCTAGGATCAGAACCAGGAGCCCCTGTGCCCTCGGCTTTGCAGGAGGCAAACAGTTGGTGTGAACCTGAAAACTAAAGTGCTGGGCTGTAGCCACACCTGGAGAATTCTGGGCCCAGTGATTATGCTCAGGTAACAGCGGAACCAGATTCTGAGACATTTAAAATTTGAGGGATCCTAAGAATTGCCCAACTCAAATATTTTCATTTGATATATGTGGAAACTGAGGCACAGAGAGAGGAAGTAAGTAGTTCAAAGCTACTCAGGCCTCTCTTAGGACTTATCCAGAATATCATCTGGATAAGTGGCTCAGCAGAGTCAGGGAATGTAAGACAGTGGGTGTGAGGAGTAGGCTGTAAGATCAGACCTGGGTTACTAGGCAATTCATTCACTTACTCGTCTGGATGTCCTCTATATACAAGGATCTGTTCTAAGGGAAAGTGAGCAAAACAGGCCATGTGTCTCATCTCCGGAAGTTCACTTTTCTTCTGGGAGAGCTAGATAGTAAAGAAGTAAGTGTGGACTATGATGGCTGAAGGTGATGTGTGATCCAGGGAGAAATAACAGGAGAGGGGACCAAGCTGGTCCTTTATGCAGGGCAGGGGGACAGTCAGGACAGACAGCCTGGTGACACTGGCATAAAAGCCTGAATGATGAGAGAGAATCAGGCAGAGGGAGACACATACACTCCTGGAAGAAGGCATTAGGAATTCCAGGAACAGTAAGATGGGCAGAACAGCCAGAATCGGGGGGGGGGGGGGGGGGGGGGGAGAGAGGTGGGGAAGGGGAGGGGGAGAGAGAGAGAGAGAGAGAGAGAGAGAGAGAGAGAGAGAGAGAGAGAGAGAGAGGCCAAGAAGTGTGGTAGGGTTTTGGTAGCTTGTGAAGAGGCCAACCATTTGCCACAGTCTAGCTATGTCAGTTTAATGACAGACCCTTCTCCCAGGAAGACTGTTTGGAGGAGCCAGTAAGCTGCTGGGAGGGAAGTATCTGGCTGAGAGCTCCTCATACACCAAGGACCCACATGGTAGCGGCTGTGGTCTGGAGGCCTACAATTATTTACCTTTCTATATACCAAATATGTACATTTTCAAGTTCACATTTGGTCATATAAATCCCTTCTTTCTCCTCAGGAAGGGAAAAAGTGAGTTCAAAGTGGGAGTGGAGGTAGGCAGGAGAAAGAATGTTGGCTCATCTTAAAAATGTCTACCTTGGGGGCTGGGAAGGTGGCTCAGTGGTGGCTCACACTTGCCTTGCATGCGTGAGGCCCTGGGTTCAATTCCTCAGCACCACATAAGCAAAAAGAAAAAAGCCGGAAGTGGCGCTGTGGCTCAGGTGGTAGAGCGCTAGCCTTGAGCTGAAGAGCTGAGGGACAGTGCCCAGGCCCAGAGTT